GACCATTAAGAAAGTTTAGCCTTACTTCCAAATTTAATATTTTTTAAGAAGGAAGGAATAGAACAAAGCACGCCAATGCCATCATTTTAAGTAATAACTAATAGGCTTAGTGGAAGAAGCATTTTCTTTGTAAACCTTACCTAGAAAAATACATAGTAAGTTCAGATTTCAATCCTCCCGAAATCATATATTAAATATTATATCATTAGGAATTCAAAAGAAATGTTGATCAAAGTGTTTATGGTGTTGTCTAATCAAAATCCTTGCCCAACTTTAAAAAAAAAACCCAATGTTCTATAAACTAATGAATGAGCGGCTGTGAGGAAGATGACCAAAATGGAAAGCGAGAAATGCTAAACTTGCCATTTTTCGAAATTATTCCCACGCTCAAAATCGAACAGACAACGCCATGTGCATCAAAATGACTATAAAAACCTACAAGTGGGGTCGTACTATCGACATAAATAGCAGCAAATTGTCGATTGAAATCTGAAGCTCTCATCTCATTCATTTGCTAGCCCTCCCTATCTTTCTCTTTCACTCCTTTCGTTAAACCCTAATGGCATGCATGAGGGCAGCCAACGCTTTCGTGCTCTCTCTGTTCGTATTTCTTCTTTTGCAGCAACATCTTGACCTGGTATCAGCAGCATCACGACGGCCACCGGCATTCCGCGCAGTACCGCTGAGCATCGCCAAAGCTTATAAGGGAAAGCCAACTTCTGCTTCCCTTAATCTCGATAGGTTTACTATAAACCGTTATAAGAAGACCGAGACGGAGGCTTATCGGCCGACGAGTCCCGGTCACAGCCCTGGGGTTGGCCACTATAGCCCGCCATCCGGTCGTCCTTAATGGCGTGAACTCGAGTCTCGATCGATCCTCTAGCTAATGTATTTTTCTAGTTGTTTTAGCGAGTGTGGCAGTGTGATATACATCAAGGTTGAAGAAAAACCCTAAAAATATAATACTTCCTTTTGCAGGTCTAGTATGAGGTAGGAACTTAGGGTCGGTTCCACTCAGCACCTTTTTATATTGATTTTTCGTTGTTGAATATCTATGAAGAAGTCATCTTTTTAAAAAAATAAATAAATTGTAGTAGTACCTTTCTGGTATATGAGGTTTTCTTTTTTGAATATCTAGTAGTAATATCTTTTTCATATCCTATATTGGCATGGTTGACGAGTTTTGATTAATCTGAGGTTAAAGATAATTTTTAATCATTTGACTTTGAATATTTATACCATTGATATTCTTAGTGTTCGAACTCGAGACCTTAAAGAATGACAACCATTCTTTTATCACTGAAGTTATTTGGTTCTTGCTTTTTGACGAATTAAGTGTAAGGGTTTGAGTATTTCTATTTATGGATCAGGTTAAGCCGTAGTCCGATTTAGAAATGATTTTTCAAACCCTAGTTTATATTTAATTTGACTTGATTTAATATTTTATTATTGATAAATTGATAAAATACTAAAAATAAAATTAATACTTGAATATATCTATAATTAATTTAATTAAAAATATTTTATATTATTTAAATAGAAAACGATCCACCAAACCATCCGTGGACGGTTTTCAGTGCTCGTTTTCCAGTTACATAAGTGATCTCATGGGCTTTCGTGTTTGTGTCTCTCTAAAATTAATTTTGGTTTATTTAGTTATCGGGTACTGCCAAAGGCATAAATTCTCTAGAAATAGATAACTGAAGACTTGTTATTAAACAATATAACATGACATATACTCGTGTCTACCAATATCAAATGGAAAATATACATCTAGAATCGTATTTAGATTTATAATTTTTTTAATCGTTTAATCATAGGAGTTACCAAAAAAAATATAAATTGATATACATATTATATATAGAACTATATGATTCTTATATTCTATTAGAAATATCATTTCGATATGATAAAAAAATTTGGATTGTCAGATACTCGAACCCAAAACTATCAGATGAATAACTTTAAATAAATTCGGAACGAACGGATCTCGGTAAGAGAATAAGTCTAAATAAGAGGGAGTTTAATACTATATTGTTTCACTATGCACGTATGCATCATTCTTTCGTGGTCATGACAAGTGATGGTAAAGAAATCCAGACCGTATGACAAGTGATGGTAAGGAAATAGTTAGTTAGATCGAAATTAAATTTATGATAAAATATTTTTGATTTAATCCGACTCAGAATAATTATTGATATACATGGATTGTCTAAAGAAACGGATAAATATGATTATCCCTAAAAATTTAAAATTATAATATATTTTAACTTTTTATGTAATTTTTATTTTTATAAAAGTTTTATCAAATTTTAAAAGTTTATCTCTAATATAAAATTATACGTGGATGATTTTCTCTTCCGTAAAAGGTGTAGGGTAGTGCACCACTGCCCTTCCCTTTGACATAGGCTTTTCAGGGTAGTATAAATTATTTGTCCAGATAGATTTTGTCAATCTAAGTATCTTCTCCCGTCACGCCCTAAATTTGCTTTATTTAATAGAGTTTAGAATGTGAACCACATCTGATGGCCGCTAGCCCCTACAAGCCCGGTATCTTGTAGGAGAGTGATACTAGATTCTAGTGGTAATTAGATCACGGAATTCGTTAAGGTTTTAAATGGTGAACTTCGGGGTGATACTTAAAATTATATGAAACATTACGTTAGGAATGGGTAATAAAGAGGAGCACTTTCAAATTACTATCACAAGGTACGTGGATGGATAAAATATTACCGATAGTATCGCATATTATCTATTTACTTCGACAGAATTAACAATTACGATCTAAATGTATCTCGAGAGAAGGAAATGAAATGGCTGATGAGTCGGTGAAAATAACATGATCCCTCCCGTCCACATCTTTACATAACCATCTGTGGAGGTGGGAGCTTTGTCGATATAGCAATTTAACTTTATCTAATTATTTTAGAGTATTTTAACATCTAACGTTACAGTGAAGCATACTTGACATTAATCATTAAATCCAAAAGTTTATTGTACTTATTATTGGTTGTTTTTTGTTTAATTATTTAACATAAAATCGAATATGGTTATTGAAAACAATTTCAGTCATAATAAATGAATTAATTAATTTAAACTATTTTTAAAATATATAAACTTTCATTTATGCCTTATGCTACTGGGCTCAGAGGAGTTTAACTTTCCAGCCAAGCCCACTATGATTTTTAAGTTTGATTTCACCATTATCAAAAACTCAAAAATAGAAATAGTTTTGAATAAATAAAAAAGTTTAGGTACTAAAACGAATCAAAATTGATAGTTTAGATACAAAATACATAATTTACCCATAAAATAAATATATAAACAACTATATTTTATAAAGGTTACCCGTAGGATTACTATTTTTTTTATCAAATACTTGCATTATTTTATTAATAAAAATTTAAATCTAAAATCTTGATTAAATTAAAATAACTTATACTAACTGTTTAATTTTTCAAATTTAAAACGATAATGAATTTTATTGAAACAAAATAAGATACACCCTTAACAATGCAACTAATTAAAGAGAAAATTTTAAGGATTATATCTAAAAAATACAAACATATAAAAAAAGAAAAAGAAAATCCAAAGACACAATAACAGTCGAAACATTCTTTTGAATCTGACGCTCAGCATCCATAATAACCTTGTAATCGTCAATAGTTAGGGATGCCAATTTAACTCGAATTCGACGGGTTTCGACCCGACCCTATTGGGTCAGATTTTTAAAGAAAATTTTGGGTTTAGGTTAGATCAGTCTGATTTTCCAATGGGCAAGGTCGAGTCGGGTCGGGTTCAGATAGAAGGTGAAAATTTTAGTATCTTTTAATTTTTTTTATTTAAAAAGTTTAGGTCAAAGTGACCCTCCAGTTTAAAGTCAAAGCATACATAAAACTCAATTGAGATTTACATATGAATTCATAGATTACCCATCAAAAGTAATGTTGGTAGGATTTAAATTTGACATTACAAGCTCAAATTCTTAAATTAAAACTACTTGTATCAATGCTCGTTAGCTTTGATATATTTTAATTGATATACGATATAACTCTCAAAAGTAATATATAATCTTTAAGAGTTAGAATTAGAATTAGAATCCGATGCATGCGTGTATATATATTCATTAGGTTTTGGTACTAAACGTGTTAAGTTTTTAACGGTGGGTACTAAAATGAAACAAATGCTAAACATTGGAAATGGTTTTGAAAAAACTAAAAATTTATTACTAAACAGACTAAAACTTATAGTTTAAGTACTAAATGCGTAGTATACCCTTTTTAAAATTAGTCAACGGTCCAGTTTTGGTTTGTTGGAAACTTAGTATTGGCTTTTGAGGTGGTAAAAGAAGAAAGTGTTGGCAATGAGTCATCAGTTTCCATCGATTCTTTACTTTCCACAATAAATCCAAGAATATCAACTTGGGGTTGAGGGTATGGACTTAGGTGTATTTGGTTCGATTCGATTCGATTTTTTATTAAAGTATGAATCAAATCATCTTTTATCAATTCTTGGAAATGAAAACCGAAATTGAATAATAAAAAAATCATGATTTTTTATTCAAGTTAGGTCGGGTCGACGGTTTTTCATTGTTTACTATTTTTTAAATTTAACTTAAAAAATAAATTTAAAGTTAAAATCAAGTGCAAATATATAAATTTAAATTTATAAAAAAATATTATTAGTTTTAGTGTGTTATTTATTTAAATTTATCTTATAATAAATTCAAAATGAATATGTTTTAGATGTTTATTTTATTTTATTTTAATTCGATTCAAACAATTTTCATATAAAAAACCGAAACCTATCCGAATTAGATATTTATTTTCTAAACCAAACCGTAAATTAAAAAATCTAGATCAAAATGAATCGAATTAAACCAAATAATTCGGTTCGGATCGATTTTCCGGTTCCGTTGCTTGGCCCTAACAGGGACATGCAGGTTTCTCTCCTTACAAGCAACGCCAATGAAAGAGAAAAAGCACCTCTTTTCTTAATTTTCTATCCCCTTGGGTAAACCCACCTGCCATGACAAAACATCCACTCGGTTGTGTCTTAACGTACTCCGTCGTCGCCTCCCTCGGCCTTGTCTCCTTCGCCGCTTGTCTCGTTGCCGAGGGTAAGCGATCCAAGGTGCGTTTATATTTGTGTTAGCTTTGCAAATTGACTTGAGCCTTTTCAGAAATTGTTATAATTTTTTTTTTCAGAAAGGTGATCTCATGTCGGATGGGAAATTTTGTTTCTTACCTACGAGGAGTCATGTCTTTGAATTGGGTGTCGCCGCGACGGTCTGTCTCTCCGCCGCTCAAATCATAGGGAACGTACTGCTCTGTGCAGATCACCGGTGGAGACCGAACACAAGAAAGCCTAAGAAACCAGCTCTTACTGCTATTTTGCTGGCGTTTTCCTGGTAGGTCTTTCATTGCTCTCCATCTGTATTCATTATAAACACAGAAATTCACTCTGACTATACATTCATGAAAGCAGAATTTCTGGTTAGCAGGAAAGGTTGGGTTGTTCTGATTGGGTAGAGTAGAGCAGAATATAGATTTTTTCATGGTTTCTGAGACACTCCCCGTCTTAAAATAATGTAGAGGTCCTTTTACTAAAATTACTAGAGATTTACGGGTTTCTTTTACTCAAATTTATGATGAAAAAAGATTAAAGATATCGTCAAAATCTTCGTTTATAACTTTTTCTGTCATTTTCTCAAAAATCAAACAGAAAATTTATTTTTTCTTCAAACCTAAATATCATCGGAGCATAAATATTATACATGAACGGATTTAGATGACACTCATTTGTGGGATTCCTAAATTTTAAGATCTATAACATATCACATTTTACGCTTGTCACTGGACGGCCATGTCCGGAGATATGTAAAGGAGATTGGACACCAACTAGTTGGGGAAAATGGTTGAACAGCTGGAAATATCCCCAGATCATTCAAAATCGTATAATTTAAAAATAGATGAAGATAGTAGACACATGGTCTTAGTCTTTGTTGCCTAGTGCTACTAAAAATGAAATAAAATAAAAACCATTCATTGCATTGGAAGGAGCATGGATGGTCTTTGTTTTCTATTTTATTTATAAATCAAAATCTCAAGACTTGAAACCTATTAAAAAACAAGAGAAACACTTTTACAGGATGAGCTTTGGAGCTGCAACAATTCTAATAAGTGCAGCGACGAGTATGAGCAGAACACAAGCGTACGGAGAAGGATGGTTGGACGGCGAATGCTACCTGGTCCGTGACGGGGTTTACGCAACCTCCGGGGTGTTAAGCCTGCTTGCGGTTCTCGCCTTGCTCGGAGCTGCCTCCATCAAGATCACGACCAATCAACAAGTTGATCAAGACCACAAAATAAATGCAAGAAAATAAAACACAAACAACAGTGATAGAAAAGGTTCAACAAAGATGATAGAGATGGTTCTTCTGTTCTGCAAAGTTGGTTGATGATCGATGTAGATGAAATTGTTAAATCAATTTAATTCTTACTTAAGAAATGCATTTTACTTATTTCACTTAGGGATGCTCTCGGGTCAGGATTTTTTTAAAAAAATTGAGTTTTGGTCGAGTTTTTTAAATGTGATGTTCGGGTCGAATCGAATTCGGCTTTAGGGTGAAAAATATCCAACACGGAAAAGTATAATTATACCTTATATAATTAGGAATAATTACAATAAAATCCATCTCTATATATATATTTTTCAATTAAATTACTGTTTTTATTTAATAAAAATAATTTTTATTATTATTTTAGGTCGGGTTGGATCGGATCGAGTTCGAGTTGGTGGAGGGTGTATATTTTTCGGGTCGGGTCGGGTTGGTCCAAACCCGATCCATGTCTATCCCTAATTTTACTTGTATTCATAAAATATACGCATCTTCGTATAAATTTGGAGACCCAAACCACATAAAGAAACCATTTAGTTCTCATCGTGTCCAAAACCCGAGATCTCTAAGAGTAATAACCATTCATATAGTTTTGATTGTGTCCATAACCTGAGATTAAGGGCGAAACTCTCTTGGGCCCAAAGGGGCCTCGACCCCTGTAAAAAGATTTTATGCTCGATAAATTTTGATCTAATAATATTTTAGTTCATGTAAAAATAAATATTCAAATTAAAAAAATAAGAATTTATTAAACATTTAATCAAGTAAGGGCTTAAATAAAGAATGATAATCCAATGTTTTAATTTTTTTTGTCTAATAACAATTTAGGTCATTATAAGTTTAAATATTATACATATTACACATTATCTTCTAAATTTTAAGGTTTTTTTTAAAATTAATGTAGGTATACAAGATAGTATTTGTTCAAATATAACTCTCAACTTTTTAAAATTGAACACTCATACCCCTCACTAATTTGATGATCCGTAAAAAATATTCTCTAAATGTTTTAGATGAATTATCTATATTCTTAGAGCGTGTACTCGATTTTCATATGAGTCGTCTTCAAAACATGAGATAATGAGGAGATCGAATAGCATATATATATATATATATATATATATATATATATATATATATATATATATATGCTTCTATCGATGCCATAAACTTTAGTAGGTTGAGCCTTTAGATTAGTTACAAGATTGTTGATGCTACATTGATGGCCTATACGCTCACACATGACTTGCATGCTTATTATCTATAGATTTTTTGAAATATGATGAGTAGTTGTGTACTCGTTGGACTTGCTAAATCAATCTTTAAACTATTACCATTTCATATTACATGATTTATGAATCGCGATGAGTCAAATATCGTCAGAAGAGTCATAATAAAATTACTGGAGTACGATGAAGACTACTTGTACGGGTATGTAGAGGTTATGGTTGTCTTTATTATTCGGGTTGTATTATAAATACATTAATTACTGGTTTATTTTATATTTGATTTTTGAATAAAGAAGCTTCGTTCTTATAATTATTTTAAAATTTTGAGTAAATCATGTATTTTAAAGACTGAAAGTTTGGGTTCACTTTGATGAATTAATGTGATATCTTCGATTTATGTATAATTCTCGGGCTGCGTCGAGGGGTTACACCACTGTGGGAGATATAAACTTTCATTAATGCCTTAACTTTGTTTAATTTAAATCCATTTATGCCTTAACTATTCTAACTAAAAAGAAGTTATTTAACGAGATCCGCCTTACTTTCAAAAAAAAAATAAAATAAAATAAAAGATGTTATTTAAAATAGGATAAAATATTACATTAGTCACCCAATTATCACTATTTTCCTACTTTTTGCCATCATATATTTTTAAAAAGTTGAAATTATATATATTTTTTTATTTTGATCATTGACCATTAAAATATTAACGTAAATGATGTTATATTTTGATATGATAAAAAATATGATATCTAAAATTTATAAATTTTATCAATTAGATCCTAAATTATAATAATTCAGTAAACTGTAACACTAAAAAAGTATTAAATATTTATCAACCATAATTTTATTTAAATAATATATTTGTTCATTATTAAACAATTAACTGAGACTAAATTGATAAGATTTTTAAATATTAATAATTTATAAAATCATATTAAATTGAGTATAATATATAAATATTAAGAAGTATTATCATCAAATAATTTGAAATAAATAATTTAATGACCGATATTTACACTTTAAAGCTACATAATTATCTTTTATCGTGGTGGTGGTATTTAAAAAAAAAAGTATCATACTAAATATACTGTTAGTAAGAAAACCCGTTTCTCTTTAGGTCCTCTCTGGGCTGTAAAAACGCAAGAGAAACCATTCCTCGAAATTATCCGATTTCTGGGTGTAGATCTAATCTCAACGCCGGAGGGAAAAGTGAACTGAGATGGAGCAATTGAAGACGATTGGCAGGGAGCTCGCTATGGGCTCCCAAGGCGGATTCTACCAATCCAAAGAATTTCTGGATCTGGTCAAGTCCATCGGCGAGGCTCGATCCAAGGCCGAAGAAGACCGAATCGTTCTCGGCGAGATCGAGACCCTCAAACGCCGCGTCTCCGAGCCCGACATACCCAAGCGCAAGATGAAAGAGTACATCCTCAGATTGGTTTACGTCGAGATGCTCGGACACGATGCTTCCTTCGGCTACATTCACGCCGTTAAGATGACTCACGACGATAGCCTTCTCGTCAAACGGACCGGGTACCTGGCCGTCACCCTCTTCTTAAACGAAGATCATGATTTGATCATTTTGATTGTCAATACCATCCAGAAGGATTTGAAGTCGGACAATTACTTGGTAGTCTGTGCCGCCTTGAATGCCGTTTGCAAGTTGATCAATGAGGAGACGATTCCTGCCGTGTTACCGCAGGTTGTTGACTTGCTCGCGCATCCTAAAGAGGCTGTACGGAAGAAAGCCATCATGGCTCTCCATCGCTTTTATCAGAAATCCCCCTCTTCCGTTTCGCATCTCGTCTCCAATTTTCGCAAGGTAGGTCTTCCCCATTTAGCTTATTCTATTTCTAGGTTTTTTAGTCTAATTTTTGTATCATTACAATTCCAAATGAATGTGTTGATACATTTTAATTTTAACCAGCATACTACCATGTCTTCGTCTATTTACCTGTAGGAAATCGGGAAAGCATATTGTTTCTGTGCATGCATGTGGGTTATATGCTAAATGAATACTACAATTTTTAAAAATTGCGCCTTTTCTTATTCATTACTGTATTATTTTTTTTTAATTGAACTAACTTATACGTGTTTCACAACTAGAACCATAAATTTCAAATATTTCTATCCTTGAATGACCTCCTTTAAGGGAAGAATTATCACCGTAATGGGGACTGAAGAGATCATGGTTAATACCTTGAGAAGTTGAAATACAAGAATTATTAGATATTTAGACGTTTCTACACATATATTTTTCTCAGCAGCCATAGACTATCTTATTTATCTATTTATACAATGTGATTTCCTTTGTTTCAGAGACTTTGTGATAATGATCCTGGAGTTATGGGTGCAACCCTCTGCCCACTTTTCGAGCTTGTATCAACTGATGTTAATTCTTACAAAGATTTAGTCATCAGCTTTGTAAGCATTCTTAAACAAGTAGCTGAACGCAGACTGCCAAAGGCTTATGATTACCATCAGATGCCAGCTCCATTTATTCAGGTAATGCTTTTTTTTTTTCAAGGTTTCAACATTATTGGCTTAAATTTTCAATTAAAAGTACAGTTCATATGATAATCATAGTTACATTCTGCAGATCAAGTTGCTGAAAATTTTAGCCCTGCTTGGAAGTGGTGACAAGCAAGCAAGTGAAAACATGTATACTGTGGTGGGAGACATATTCAGGAAATGTGATTCGTCAAGTAATATAGGAAATGCTGTACTCTATGAGTGCATATGCTGTGTTTCCTCCATATATCCCAATCCTAAGTTATTAGAGTCCGCAGCGGATGCTATATCCAGATTTTTAAAGGTATAACTGTAGCTAGTGTTTTTTTTTATTGGAGCTAGGGTTTTCTTTTTGGAAGTATGTCTATTGTAAAGCTGATTTTGAGCCTTTTTCTACTTAGTGAATGAAGCCAATTCTTGTTTCTTGTTGGCAGAGCGACAGTCATAACCTAAAATACATGGGGATTGATGCTCTTGGCCGATTAATAAAAATAAGTCCAGAGATTGCTGAGCAACATCAATTGGCTGTGATTGATTGCTTAGAGGTAAGAAGTTTCTATGTTTATCTCACTTTTTACTTGGTAATGTTATTTACTGACTAACCTCTGGGTAGATTAACATAATATATCCTGTGGAGGCTAGGAGTTATGTATCTGTTTCCATTATAGATTACTGTATATGATCTAGTTTAATGCTTAATTGGTTCTTTAAATGGAGAAAAGGCAAGAAGCAGGAGTGCTGAAGATTGATGGATGAGCTTTAGAAGAAAATCGGGAGAATGCTTGTAAACAATTGTAATATATCCAATTGCATAAAATCTTATCCTAGGATTGACTCCTAGGGAAGTAAGTGAGAAAAGAAGATGTTTAAATCAATATAATCAGAGTTTTTTCCCTGAATATCCTTTAATAGTTGATTTGCAAGACCCCCAGTGCTGTAAGTCTGATTCAATCAGCCTCGGTTATGTTTTTTTGCTTGAAAAATTTGGCAATTCTGTTGTGGTTTCATCTTTACATAAATGAGGATAGTTGGGTGATTTCATCTGGCCAAAGGCCAGCTTTCCAGACATGACTCATGAGGAGCCTATGAGTGATTAGCTGGACCATCTAACACTACCAAGTACCAAGCACTTTTTTTGTGGTTAAAGACTCGGGAATAATTAGTTCAAATTGCTGTTTCTATTCATGCTTAATTGCACTGATCCACTTATTTATGTTATAGCAGAATATATTTTATCACTGTAAATTCCTTATGCATCTATCTGTGGTTACAGTTTTGTTTGCCTTTAGATTTCTTAGCGAATGATTATCCCTCTTCGTTATGCTATGTTCCATGCAACTGTCATTTTTGTTCATTACAATTATTTAACCTGAAGGCACTACACAGGACCCAGATGATACTTTGAAGAGAAAGACCTTTGAACTACTGTACAAAATGACCAAGTCTACAAATGTGGAGGTTATTGTTGATCGCATGATTGATTACATGATCAGCATTAATGATAATCATTACAAAACTGAAATAGCATCTCGATGTGTTGAACTTGCGGAGCAATTTGCACCAAGCAATCAATGGTTCATTTTGGTAATATTTTACCTTCCACTGGAAAATTAGTTTCTGAGCATAGAATGTAGCCATTTCTGATAATTTTTATTTGGCAGATTATGAATAAAGTGTTTGAGCATGCGGGAGATCTGGTCAATATTAAGGTAGCACACAATTTGATGCGGTTGATTGCTGAGGGATTTGGAGAGGATGATGATAGTGCAGACAGTCAACTGAGATCATCTGCTGTAAGTTATTTACTTATTTTGATTATTGCCTTTTGTATGCGTGCTTACAGACAATCATGTGTGGCTGTATGTCAAAATTCAGACATTCTATGAATTTACAACATTTTTACAACTTGCATCCTGTTCAATCTTCTTTATCTATGTTTTAACTAATGACATTTCACATTGAGTCTTAAAAAAGGAAAGCCTCTCCTGAAAGCTAGAAAGCTTGAATTTTGTTATACCTTGTGCTTTGTCTATTTTGTTAATGACATGAATTGAGTTTCTTAATTGACACATATAGAGGTGAGTTAAACTTGATTCAACTAAAAAGAACCCCAAAAAATACAAAATTTAGGTTAATTGAATTTGGAGTTATTCAGTTTTTTGAATTAATTTGGTTTTAAAAGTTGGAGTCTAGTTGAATTTTTACAACTACAATATTTAAAAATTTAATTAACAAATTCTAAAAAATCTAAGTTATATAATCAATAATATTTGGAGTTAATTGAAGTTCTATTAACATTAAACAAGTAAATTTCCGAATCATGTTTATTATACTAAAGCCTCTTGTTTTCCTCTTATTTTACGTTGGAAGAAGTTTTCATGTATGCTCTCAAATTAGTGCTCTAGCTTGAATTTCAGTCAAATTGTCAACAAGGTTTTGATTTGACCTGATTTAAATCTTTCAGTTTAATTTGAACAAATTTATTTAACTCAAATTGATTTGAATTTCATTTCGCTCTGACGCGATTTGGAAATATTTCAAATTGGGTTTGTTTGATAAAATATGACTCCTCAACTTGACCTAAATTGATTTTTTTTTCATTTGATTCGATTCATCTTGATCAAACACTCACCCCTAGATACATTCGGTCATTTTTTTACAAATTAAAGTTAATGCATTTTGTCAAAAAAATTGCTTTTTTTAGCCCCAGAAAATCTGTTAACTTTATACAGGCGATTGGCAGAATACGACTAGGTTAAATGAAACCTATAAGATATAGCATTGGTGTAATGGTTCTTTTTTTAATGGGATATTCCATGTCAATAGGTTCTATGGACCTATAAGTATATGGGGTTTCACAATGAGTTAAACATTATCCTGGAAATATTTTTTGCCTCCAAAGGAACTAATAATCTATTGAAAAAGACTGGAGCTTAAGGTCAACATCTTGACAATGCCTACTAGAAAATAATTTTGGTGCATTGTCACCCGTATGAATTAATCTTTATTCTGGATTTAATATTTGTTGTTTTGGTCCTTCTATTTTTTGCCACAGGTCGACTCATACTTGCACATTCTTGGTGAACCAAAGATACCATCTGTTTTTCTTCAAGTATGTGTTGTATTGACCAACCTTTGTAATTTTGTTTCTAGGCATGCAAACAATACTAAACTTTTGATTAGCATCTTAATTGTGTCTTGTGAGTTTTGATTGCAGTTAATATGCTGGGTCTTGGGGGAATATGGAACAGCTGATGGAAAGTACTCAGCTTCCTATATAACTGGGAAGTTGAGTGATGTGGCAGAGGCATATTCTAATGACGAGACTGTTAAGGTATAAACCAATATGGTTTAATGCTTCGTAAACCAGTTATTACCACATCTTGAATTCTTGATGTGGTTGATCAAGACGTCTATATCTTGACAATGATTATAATTATCTTAAAATAAGTGCATGGTTCTTATAATATTATATTGGACATTCAAAGTCTGAAAACGTGTCAATCCTTCATCTATTTTTGAAGGCATATGCAGTTACAGCTCTCATGAAAATATATGCGTTTGAAATAGCGGCTGGGAGGAAAGTAGATATGCTGCCTGAGGTTAGTTCCTAAACACTCGATGGCTAATTTATTTTACAAAAATGCATGCTCATTGCTGTTTTTCATGTTGTTGACTATTTTGCTCAATTGGTAATGTTATGTTAGATTGCATGTCCTTGGTGCAGCATTGTGAAAATTAAACTAGCATTATTAGCTTTTCATGCATCTGATGTGCTTTTCAAATAGTTCTTTTTTTTTCATGCACTCAAGTGGGATTTTTGTATTTTGGACGTTTGGAAAATAAGTTTATAATTTTAGTTTTGGAAAAGCTTTGGTTTTGGGGTTTGTTTGGTTGCCTAAAACAGAAATTTAGTACTATAATTCTCTCAATACAGCTACCGATGACTTTAAATAACTCAAAAGTCTGATTGTTTTGAGGTATTAAGGACTTTAAAATACTGATGTTAAAGTTTGATAATGTTAATCATCTCATAGATTTTGGCTTGAAGAAAAATGATTAATTGGAGGAAACCTGAAATTTTAGACCTCTTAGCTATAGTTCATAAGAAACTGCATATATGAAACTGGCAAGAGTGAGCTGCTAAAGTCATGTCGAAGCTATCCAATGAAGTAGTAATTATCCAAAAAAAGAAAGAAAAGTTAAAATAGAATGCATCATGTATAGGCTGCTTGGAACTCCTTTTCCTGGAAGGAAAATGGCTGTAATATAAGCAAACAACAGGAAGGAAAGTTTGACCCTGGTTACAAGATAAAACTAGTATATCTCGTCTCTTTCCATATGATTTGGCAATGAAGAAACATAATCAGTCTTCAAATTGGATCAGATTGATAGTTCATGTTTGCATTATCTCAGTGGATTGGTTGTGAACTTTAGTTTGATAGAAAGACTATCTTTTGCTTTGCGATAGCTGTACTTTTAAAATGAGTTCCTGTTGGTTAAATCTGTTTCTCTCTCTCTCTCTCAGTATTTGACCTGAAAGCAAATAGAGCTTAAGCTACCATTAAAAAATTTCATTTTATATAAAAAAATGCAAATAAGACACATTGGAGGTTCTTCAATTGTTTAAAATTACGAATAGTAGTGTACAGGGCATGTTGCCAACAGGTTGGGCAAGGGAATGAAAGCAATGTGTGCAGCAACAAGCTTTCTATTCGGGAACAGGAATTACTATTTGGCGATCAGCTGTTAGCGATGCCTATTATGTAGTGTTCTTGTAGGATGGAGTCCACTGCAGACTTCTTGTAACTGGATAGTGATGGAACTGCATTTGATATAATTAATATCTGGGATGGGAGTTTCTTTTTAATGCTTTCTATCTACTGTAAAAGCTAGATTTGGTTTATTTTAATGCTATGTATAGATGTCACCATATCTAATACTTTCATGCTTAATTTTCGAGCTCTTGCAATCGTAGCAAAATTTGTGGACTGATTGCTCTTTCCTCTGTTGATGCAGTGTCAGTCTCTAATGGAACAATTTTTGGCTTCTCACTCGACAGATCTGCAGCAACGTGCCTATGAACTGCAAGCAGTGATTGGCCTTGATGCTCATGCTGTTGAGAGTATTATGCCATCAGATGCAAGTTGTGAAGATATTGAGGTAATTTTTAGTTTGGATTTTATGTACATATTCTCATTTTATGAGCTTTAAAACTTGTGTGTCCTGTTTTTAACATCTATTTCTTTATAGTTTGAGCTCCGAAACTCTCATGCCCATTTCGAAGCTTTCATGGCCTAAATTTCAGTTTTATGAAGTGACTAGGACTTCAAACTTTCGTTTGATTTTTTTAAAATGCTATGACATCTGCACCTTAGTTTACAGTAACCATCTTCTCTCCTTTCTTTCCCAAACATGTGTTGCTACTTTAGTTTTGAATTTTGCCTGCTTCCTGCATCTGTCTTCTGCTTCTGCATTGAATTGACCTACATGATTGTGAATGTATCTGTGCTAGTTTAATTAATTTTTGTTTAAGTCCCTATATTTCTACAAAAGCCATGGCCCATTACGTTGCAGTTTAAGATTATTGCACAAGTACCAGCGCAATTTGTCATTTTAGTTCCTTGTTTGTTCTGTCAACTGCATCTTGGTGGAATACTGTTTGCTAAATTTATACTTATCTTTTCATGCAAGAATACATCATTGTTAGTCCTCCCTTGCAGGTTGATAAGGCCCTTTCATTCCTTAATGGTTATATCCAAGATTCAATAGAGAAAGGTGCTCAGCCCTATATTCCTGAGAGTGAACGCTCTGGAATGCTAAATATTAGCAATTTTAGGAATCAAGATCACCATGGAGCTTCATCACATGGTCTCAAGTTTGAGGCATATGAGCTTCCAAAGCAGACAGTGCAATCGAGGATTCCTCCAGCTACGCTTGCTTCAACTGAGTTTGTTCCAGTGCCTGAGCCAATGAGTGTTAGGGAAAGCTACCCAACTACTATTGTGCCATCTGCATCATCAGATGCAGAATCAACAGAGCTCAAACTACGATTAGATGGAGTCCAGAAGAAGTGGGGTAGACAGACACACTCGCCTGCGACATCTACCTCAAGTTCCACATCCAAAAAAACAGTTAATGGCATCAAACAAGTTGATGGATCAAATACTTCAAATTCAAGTACTTGGGAAACCTATGATTCTAGGAAACATGTTGAAATTAATTCAGAAAAGCAGAAACTTGCTGCTTCACTGTTTGGAGGTTCATCGAAAACAGAAAAGAAGCCAGCTACTGGTCATAAAATCTCAAAGCCAAGCAGCCACATGGTGGAGAAGTCTCATGTGCGAAAGTCTAGTATGGAAATTGCATCAGAAAAGAAAGCTCTCGTTCACCAACCTCCGGACTTACTTGATTTTGGAGAACCAACAGTCCAAAGTAGTGATCCTCCTTCAGTAGACCCATTTAAAGAATTGGAGGGTCTTCTTGAGCCAACAACTCAACTTGGCTCAACTGCTGCTGCTGCTACAAATTCACCTGATATAATGGGATTGTTTACAGAAACACCTGGTGGCACACACAATAAAGATGACAGTGATATTTTATCCAGTTTATCAAAGCAGCCAGTGACAAATATGGTTGGTGGTGCTACAAGCACGCAAGTAGCTCAAAGTAGTAAGGGCCCCAACCGTAAAGATTCATTGGAAAAGGATTCACTGGTGAGGCAGATGGGTGTGACTCCATCGAGTCCGAACCCTAACTTGTTTAAAGATCTACTCGGGTGAAGTAAATTTGGAAGGACCGACTTAAGTTTACAGCAATGCAGTTTCAGTGTGGTTTCCTTCCATTCAGCATCTAGGTGAACCATACGAGCAACGAGATATCACGAGCTGATTTTCCGGAGATAGTGATCTTAAAATCATTCAGCCACCTCGAATGAGGTTTAAGAGTCAGTACGGATCAGTAGTTGTTGGAGACTTGAGAAGGCTTTTGTTTTTATAATTATTGTTTCTATTTTGTCAAATTGGTTAGGGTGGTTGGCTAAATAAATAGCACAGCACGGCGGCCTTTCTCTGTCGTGATTCTCGTGAATGTGAGATTTTGTGGCTGTTCCAACCGCAAGGCTTTCTATATGGGCTGCCTCAATCCGAAAAACGGGGTTTTGCATTGTATGATGTGATAACAAATAAAGATACTTCCGTATAAATAAGAAGTGGTATATTAAGTTTTCTATATGCATCAAAATATAGATATGGATATAGAATAATTAATAGCATTGAAATATGTCACTTAAATAAGTCTCGAGTTAAAACAAATATCGAGTTTGAAACTTTGTGTATGCATAAAATTTTCATTGAGAGACTCACCTATCAAAATCAGATATGCGACTCGAGTTGGTTTAGATTAGTTAATATAAAACTTTGGGAATCAGTATACGATTCAGGTTGATCTAGATTAATTAAGATAAAACTTTGGGAATCAGGAGGGCAATTAAAAATAGCATTGAAATATATAGACTGAACATATATGCGGTGTGCATTTTTTACTTGGTTTGGTTTCCTTGGTGTCATTAAAAAGCGTCATTACTGTTTAATAGTCAACAAAAAACATGGCACCAATTAATAAGTTAGTCCATTTCGATGATATTATTAATCTCTCTCTTTAATTCTAAAATTTAACATTTCAATATCAACAAAAAGCAAACAATTCACATGAAACAAAATAAAAATTCTCTTGTTTACTAAAAATTGAACTAACATCTCATTTTCAATGAAGCAATACATCAGTGATACTTGACAATGCTTGTTTCTCACATGAGGCCATGTTGGCGTTTTTGTTTCAACTGCTTAAGAGTTTGAATGCATAAATAATTTGGAAGTGGGTGCTAGTTTACGCATATAGTTGTCGGAACAAGACAAATCTCAGGGCCAACAGCTTAATTTAAAGTTAAAAGAATGATAGCGAACGCAATCAAAAATATTATAAAAATATATAATATTTTTAATTGGACGTAACCTAAAATTTACACTTAATTAAAAATATTATAATTTTTATAATATTTTCGGTTCTATATATTTTTGTATCGTTTTGTAATCTTAATGAAACAAAAAATACATTGGTGGGCTGTTGTCAATAAGACACGACTGAAGTCTATTTTTGGTTTGATGTAAAACTGAAGAGCGGTGGTTAGGTATTTGTCGTACTTTCATAGTAAGATATGAAGTACATGAAATGTATTATAGTCTGGCAGTGGGTGAGTTGGATCGATTTGACATCTTTGCATGTCTTGTCTCTGTCTTTCTGTTGGTGCGTTGATGTACGCACAATCACAATGAATGCTTAATTGTGCTGATTTTAATTATTAATTTCGTAGTTTGTATTTGTTAGCGGTAGTTATGCCCTACGACAATATAATTTAAAGTTAAAAGAACGATAAAAATAAATACGATTGAAAATATTATAAAAATTATAATATTTTTTATTTGATGTCATCTAGTTGTTAATTTTTTAAGTAGAGACAAAATGATTATATTTTTCTTCAAAAATGATTTTCTAGTTTTTATTTTAAAGTGTCGTCTTAAATTACATATCATTGTCGTTGTATCTTTTCAGTTTAGGTTTTTAAATATCATTTTGGTCTTAATTTTTTTTGTCGTACTTTCTTGAAACTTTTGATTTTATCTACTTTTATAGCACGCTTATTCATATACTTTTATCGTATGATTTTATTTATCGTGATAATATTTTGACATGTCATGTTGCATTCATTACGATGCACATTCTAATCAGGAAAGGTCGACGATATCTTATAGTTAGATCTCCTTTTGCGACAGTTTGTCGATACAATCAAAATTGTTTGTGGAGTAATATGTTAGATTGGTTCTCTCAATTTTCACACCTTTATCAATATCGCATATACATTCGAATATAGACATGAAAAGTATTGTAGTTGCTAAGTTTTTTTTTTTTGGGAAGATGAAACATGCATTAAAGGGAAAGCCTTGATTTTATTTTTCTTTAGATAGAAACACATATCGAATATATATATACACATCAAACATGTCTCTTGATGGAGGAGCTATATCCTCTTTGATCATCATAATACTAGGACCATAGCATAACGCCTCCATACTTGGAGGAGTTCTTTATAGCTGGTAGAATCTTTTATGCCAGATCATTCACCGGGATGAAATCACTGCATGCCGCATCGGGAGATGCCGGTAGGCCGAGGAAAATCTTCGTCACCGGGACATCCAAAGTCCATTGTTTCCATGCATGTTCGAGGTCGAAAATACGGGCATACGAGTATTGGCAACGAGGGTTGTTGTAGAACTGGACACAAATATAATCGAATAGACCTGTTTTGAGTGCATCCCTGACCCAAGCATCAGGGAAGGGGCATTGACGAGCAGCCGTAAGTACATTTTTTTCCCCATTTCTTGCTAGGTGTGACATGCGGCGAAGAGTGCAGTGTTGGGAAGAGGAACTGAAGTGGGTGGATACCACGTTTAAAGGTAAGTCTTCACTCACTCTCCTCCTCCAATTGGTTTGAAATGCTTGCATCTATTCTATACGGGAGGAACAAAATAGGCACTGTTTTAATCGACTGGGTGCCAAATCGAATGTTGAGCTTTGTGGATTGATTCGAGTTATTATGCAGGTGAAATTTGCTAGAATTAATACATGGAACCTTGATTCTCAAATTTGTATAGCTTGGAGAATTGATGATTGATTGTGATCTCTCTTTTATATACTATCTTGAGTATAGACAAGAATTCGGTAATTGAATTTGTGTACAGAGGTTGTTTTTGCGACCCTTCTAACCCAGTTTACTCTATTCGCAAACGTCAAGATTTGAACGACTGACCTTACTTAAAGGACCTAGTACCTCATCTCACTATACTAATTGATTGTTGAAAATATAATAGTTATTTTATAACTTTTACAAATTTAATTATTAAAAATGTGTTTTTAAAACACATATTATTTTTTTAGTTATTTATACATCCCGCTTTTAACAAACAAAAGAAAAGTTTTTTTCCCCTTTTTTTTTTTTTTTAAGGAAACATAAGAATAGTTGGAAAAGGAAATAACCGTCTAAAATGCAACGATCCCCATCGTAGCGTGCATCCTTTTTTTCTTCTTTCTAAGTTGACTTTAGAAAGCTCTCCGATCACCGGATAAATGATTCCGGTGACCGGTACGCATTCAGAAGTCTTCTAGCTTCCGTTGATTTACGCCTTCGAATTTATGGATTCACAAGAACTCCCCGATAATGGTAACAAGGGTTTCCTGTACATGTTGCTTCGAATTGCTTTTGCCCTTCTTTTCCTTATCATTTCTAGCCGGGGTCCTTGCCATTTTCATGGAGGAACTATCAATTTCAGATCCGATTTTCATTCCCACAGAGTGCAAGATAGTCTCAAGCAGTAAATTTCTCTCCATTTCTCTTGCTGATCAAACGTTGAAATTTCCTTCTATAACAATTTGAGTATGTTTTAATTATTATCTATTTAATTTTAGCAAAATTTTCTGGTATAGCTAGCGAATTTGCTTATGATATCGTTATTTAATGTATATTTTCAATTATGGATTTTCCCCTTGTAGTATCTAGGTAATGCAAGCTTGCTTCTTATTGTATATTTTTTCCCTTGGAAATTTGACATCAGGTGTGGATATTAGGTCGTCGAAGGTTTGTGAGCTTGGATTATTGAATTATAAAGCAAACCATGTATTTTATCATTCCAAAAACAGAAAATTTAAATGTCGATATGATTACTACTGGAGTTCAGTGTTCAAGGTAATAATATCTTATCTGTTTTAAGTCATGTTTCCTTTTCAGTAGTAATAATTTTGGAAACTATGGATTTTCTTTAGCTTTGGCAAATATGCATGGCCATCTTCATTTTTCAATGATTATAGGTTGGTTGGTTTTTAAGTTTGCATTTCCATCTTAATGTTTTCCTATGATAATATTTCAATTGTTTTTTACATTTTCCAATTCTTGGCGTGCTAATTGATTAGTTTATGATAATATTACTATGTAGGAAGGCAGCAATGCAATTTTAGGTAGTCTAAACTATGCCCTTTTACATAGTTTCTGCTTAACTATGGAAGGTAGAGTACAGAGACCATTCTTTAGGTCAGATGCAATTTGCCATGGCAGAGGCACCGAATGAAGCCCTTCCACTAAGTTGCAGGCCTAACTTTGGCTCTTCTTGGTTAACCAAAGATAAGTTCAAGGTAGTGCTTTTCAAGTTTATATTGATACTCATGACGGTGCACAGACCTGATTCTTCCTTTTAAAAGTGCAATTTTATATAATTGAATCTGTACTCCTTTGCAGGTAAATGAAACCTATGACTGCTGGTACATGTGGGGTATTCCTACAGTACAGTTGTATAATGATGGTTTTTTTTTATAGGAATAGGATGCCTCGTTAAAAACCTCCCTCTTATTGATTCTCTGCCGTTAGGCAGGAACCCATTAGCGGAAGGAGGAAAAGAGTGCATCAATTTATTAAAGATAAATCAGTTTACAAAAGATACAACACTGTTACAAAACAAAAGACTAAAAACTAAACACTCCTACAGAAAACAAAAGATTTAAAACAGTCCTAAGCCAACTCCCCTGTAATACAAACGAACCAACCAAAACAGCAACAACAATCACCCAATTCCCTCCTTAGCTAGCTTATCAGTTGCCAAGCTAAAGATCCATCTTTGATCGAGATGATGAAGCGATACTTTATTCTGTGAGTTTAACATGTAAAATTCTCATTTAAAATTTATTTTATATAGTTGCTGGAAATTGTTTTTAGTGTTTGTTTTGTCATCAACAGTGCCCTTACTCTGTTGTTAATTAGGTTGGGATTGAATAGGATCCTTGGATTTATTTGTACTCTGCTACATTTTGGTGAACTTGGGTTTCCTGTTAGTTTTCATACCCTTGGAATTACTAATGAGGTTCATTTTGTACCAAAAAGATTTAGGTTACCAACTTTCATCATTGAGGGTAAAAGAGTTTTGTTCTGTAAATTTTGAGGGTCTGGTGATTAGGATGGTAAAAAAAAAATTCTGGTAATGTATGCATATAGGAATGTTTGTCTTGGATTGTTTTAAGCAGTATTCTGGGAACTTAACAGCAGCAAAGTGGTTTCTGAATTTTGGAAAGAGAATGAAAGTACACTTGAGAACCGTAAGAAGGTAATGAAGTCTAGTAAAAGGGAGAAAGGAAGAGAGAAAGAGGCTAGGGGATTCTAGTGAAGCGGATGTGAAAGTTGAACTAAGAAGGGATAATTTCTGTAGTATTAGGCTGCAGTAACATTTTGCTGAGAATGGTGCAAAAAACTTTTATGCCTTCTTTTTCTTTATTAATTTAGTGTTAAGTAACCGCATTTGATCATTCCTTTATCTGATCATAGTTGCTAATGGTTGAGTGGGATATTTTAAATGAGGCTGTTTTGATGATCCAGGTGTTACCGGGCTCTTCTAGGTAAGTGGGTGTGAAAATTTGCCAATGATAGAAATTCCCTATGGAAAGGTGTGTTGTGTAGCAAACACAAGGTAAGTTGCAATACAATGTCCATTAGGGAGGTTACTACTCCGCAATCTTCTTGGATTTGGAGAGGTATAGCAAATAGCTTTTTGAAGAATGATTCGGAAGGTGACTGTCTTAGATCAAATGCGAGGTTACAAGTGGGAAATGGAACATCTATTTCTTTTTGGAATGATGTATGGGCAGATGATGTTCCACTAAAGATCTTGTTTCCTAGAATTTACGTGCTTTCCCCTATTAAAGGGGGGAAGGTTGTAGAGTTTGGTAGCGTGGAACCGAGTGGTTGGGTGTGGAATGTTGAAACAAGAAGGAATTTGTGCGATTGGGAGTTGAATCAGTGGATGGATTTGATGTCTAAGCTTAAGGATATTCAACTGTCAGAGTTGGTGGAAGATTTCCTATCTTGGTCTGCAAGTGGGGATGGACTGTTTTCGGTTAAATCGTGCAGAAATACTTTTGGTAATGTGTTTGGGGGCAGTGTGCCTTGGTGTAAAGGGGTATGGCTGGGATTTGCTCCACCTAGAGTGGAAGTTTTCCTGTGGCAGCTTGCTCATCAGAAAGTGGCAGTTAAAACTGAGTTGGTTAAGAGAGGATTATCTCTAGAGGATGATATCCTATGTCCTTTTTGTAAGAAACAGGAGGAATCAGTGCAGCATTTATTCATTTCTTGTCAAGTTGTTTGGGAATTATGGAACAAAATAGTTAATTTCTGGGACTTATCATTCGTTATACCAAAAGACCCTCCTTATCTTCTTTGTTCCTGGGGTGAGTTGAGGGAGAACTCGATGATTTGGAAGTTCATCCTGGGTGTTATTTTTTGGTCGATTTGGAAAGTTAGGAATGCAATGGTTTTTAATGGATCTTCTCTTGATAGGCTGTCTTTATTCTTCATTGTCAGATTCAGGCTGTCTAAATGGTTCCTAGCCAAGTTTCCTAAGATATCGATACAGGAGGATGTGCTGATTGGTAATCCATGTCTAGCATATGGGTTTTCTCTATCAAAACGTAAAGAGTGTCATGTCATAAGACGGATTCCTCCCCCAGTAGATTTTCTTAAGATGAATGTTGATGGAGCTGTTAGGAGTGATGACTTGGGTGGTGGGATTGGAGGTATTTTAAGAGATTGGAATTGATGCACCCTTTTGACTTTTTCAGAGAAAGTTGCTCAAGGAAATCCTCCACTTGTGGAGTTAAAGGCTATTAAAAGAGGCATTGATTTATTTTTATCATCACGTTGGGAAGCTGTGGGTAGGTTGATTGTCGAGACTGAATGTAAATCGGCAGTAGAATGGATTCAGGCCCCGGGTTTAGCTCCTGTTTTCTTAATGTCTATAGTCTATCAGATTTCGACTCTTATCACTGGTAAGATACATTCAGTGAGGTGGATCCCAAGAGCGTGCAATGGGGAGGTAGACAATTTAGCTAAGAGTGGGATAGGTTGATTGCAAGGAGTCAACCATGGTTTTCTAATCTACTGTGAAGGTTTTTATGGCAGGGGGTGTTTTTAAGTCTGATGTATTGTAAAGGCTTTTAAGCCAGGGGATGTTTTTAAGATTTATGTACTGTTATTGGTGTAATGGTTGTATCTTATGTAATTTTTCCATTATTAATAATATTCAGGGCACTCTTTTCCTCCTTTCGCTGATTAAGGAGCTTATTATCAAGCTCCTTAATCAAGAAGGGGGGTTTTTAACGAGGCCTTACATTTCTATAAAAAAAATGATCCAGGTGTTACTTAATGCTATTTTCGTCAATTTAATTATTGGTTGTTATGATGCCAACAGATCCACAAAGATTTTACAGTCTTGGTTTTCCAACGAAGGGAACACCGGATATTTGGGGCGGGAAATCATAGCTGGTATAGTCACTGGATTTTCAACATCTATAATCACTATCAGCTTCGTTAAAATCTTAAAACACATGAAGTCTCGGTTACCTCAAGTCATTAACACAGTCCATATAAAGCGTGTTTGTTTTCTGTCGGTGTACTCCTGTTATGGGTTGGTTGGCATCCCATTTTTGGAGGAGCCTCATTATCCCTTTTATTAAAGCTTTTAACTACTAGGCGGCACTCTTTTTTTCAATGTGCTATATGCTATTTCCCCTGGAAGCCGGTTTGCATCGGCTCGTGCACCTTTCCTTGAGGAAAGATATGTGCTTGAGTGGTTACCTGATGCTTCGGGACAACAGTTAGATGTAGCTTATCAAGATTACAAGGAGCAGAGAGAAAGATGAAACGGCCGTACTCGTATTCTGATGTATAATATGTATCACTATAGCGGTGAGATTCCGAGTTACACAGTGCATGTTCTATTTATTTCTATGCTTTCATTGTTCTGTATGGAAGAGTCTTAAGAACAAAATCCCTTATTTCCCCCCCTTTTGTTGAGTGTGATAATTGGAGGTGGTATCAAATTATGTAATGTATTAGGCGTTTCAGCCTAAAAACTGAAACCATGCTTGTCACTTTGTATCAGCTTCCAGGGCTTTACTTCAGCAAAACATTGCCCTTTTGTTGGGCAGGTCTGTTTTTTTCTATCTACGTTAATATAATCAAATCGCAGGTCTATTTTTTTTTCTTTCAATTTGAGTTATAAACTGGTAGAGCTTAATTTATTTGCTTATCCTTATTTATCTTATTTATAAATCAAATAATGTTAAATTCAAGCACAATACAAATAAATTTTAGGGTAAATTATATTAGATACTATCGAACTTTAGACGTTGTATCGTTTATACCATTGAACTTTTAATTTTGTCAATTATAGCACTGAACTTTGATTTTCGTTTCAATTATACCACTGAACCGTTAAATCCTTAACGACGTGATGATGTATTGACGGCTGTCGACTTAGACACCTCACCAAAACAACGTCGTTTTGATCCGGTTGTTAACGATTTAACGGCCTAATAGTATAATTGAAATAAAAATTAAAGTTTAATGTTATAAATGACAAAATCGTAAGTTGAGTGGTAAAAACTATACAAAGTTTAAAGTTTAGTGGTATAGGATCTAAATTGTATGATTATTTAGATTTGACTTGAGCTAAAGTCTTCGTTTCATGCAAAACGCTTTCTATCTTAAATTTATGAAAAGATTGGATAAATGATTAATTAGATTGTTAAATTTTCAAGAGTTTAGATTTATATAAAACGAAAAGTTTTTATTTAATTATACTAAAACAATATGACCCTTCTGTCGCATCAAATTTGAACAAAAAAAAAATGACGGGTCCAGCGGTTACAGTATCGAATATGTTGAAGGAAGGGAGGAGAAGAAACCGTCGCCTTACCTGCCAATCTTGTACGGTTCCACCCTGGTGTAAACTTTCAGTTCAATGTTACCAACGCGTATATTCTTTCTCCCAATTGGAAACCAAACTATTTTGGTTGAATTTCAGTTTTAGCTGCTCAACTTGTAATGGATTTCGGTAATTCTTTTTGCTTCTTGTGTTTAAATCACTCTCTATTTTGTTCTTCTTGTTATTCTGCTTGCCTTAGTTCATCTTCTAAACCGTCCGTTTCGTGTTTTGAAATCATGAAACCCTCTTCTTCCAAATTCACTGCTGTCCCATCTCCCTCTAGAGAATACGATTGATCCTCTTCCATTTAACTTTTTTTTTTAATTAGTTATAGAGATTTTCTTTTAGATCTTCTATTCTTCGCTTTAGCTCATAACAATGCCGTGCACAGTATATTGCGTACCGGCAGCATCTCTGGTTTCTCAAACATTTGCTGATCACTGCCTTATCAGGTAAGCCTTTGAACTTGTTTCTTTCTTTTCCATTTTTTTTGTTGCTTTATTAGTAATTTCGTGATAATTGAACCTTTTATCTTTTCCTGTACCTAGTAATTTAATTTGCTAAGTGGGTTTACTATAATTTGACTGTTTGGTATCTCTTAATCGATGGGGGGAATTAGAATTTTATGGTACTAGTATAATAATAGAGAGGCAGAAGAAGCATTATCCGTTTATTCTTTACGATCATCAGGTATGATCACCACCATCATAATCACAAGGACTTGAGAAAATGGAGTAGGACCTCTGCTGCTACTTCAACTTCTGCTTCTGCTTACCCTCTCGTTTCCAATCCTAATGACTCTTCTTCTCGTCAAAAATTTGATCAGGAGGTTGATCTTCATCTATATATAATATATGCATATATGCTGCTCATCCATTCTGGATATCTGCATCACCATGTTAATCATCTTGTTATTACATTTTCTTTTTCTAATATTCTGTTGAATTCCAATTACAATGTCACCATCTCTAAAGACTGCGAGGGACAAGTTCACTCGGGAGATCTCTTTTCATTCCAAAGACCAAGACATCTCACTTGCTAAGGTACACATATAATGAGTGACGTCTACCTGCCTACATCATCTTATTTTTTGTTTGACAAATGGTGCTGCCCAATAGATAATTTATGTGGCCTTCACTAGTTCATTTGCTGTGTTGTTCCTTCGTTCATGCTCTTGAAGCGTAAGTTGGACGTTTTATTTTGCTTGATATCCTTTTTTTGTGTAGGCTTTGCTTTATGTTGCAGCTGAAGATGAGGCATTCATGGCTTACAACCGAGAGATGGACGCTTGTTCCCTTCTCAATGAAAGGATGAACGTTTCTTTCTCATCTGATACCAAAGAGTGGGATACTGTGGAGCAAATGCCTTTGGGTGTAAAGACCGTATCTGAATGGCTGAGTGAGTTAGACGCAATTACTAAAGAAGTCGAGGCGGAGCTAGTTTCAAGGGACATAGGCTGCCATCTGGTTGAAGTTTTGCAGGCAGTCAATTTAGTTCTTTTTGAGTTGAGAGGCTTTAAAAGATCCCCTGTTCTTGTAGACTCTAAGCATTCATACTTACACTCAGTGCTGAGCTCTGGATATGGCAGTGGTAACTTTCATGCAATAAGCCTCGTAATTTTGATCTAGTGACACTGCAATGGTTTTTCCCACTGTAATATTTGTTTGCTAACCATTTTTTCGTCAGTTTAGGCAGTCTGATAACATGATCTTATTAATTGCAGCAACTTTAGTTAGCATAATTTACATTGAAGTTTGTCGGCGACTTGGTCTAACTATCGTGGGGTCTTGTGTTGGGGAAGATTTTCTGATATGGCCGCAGACAGCATACCCAGAGGTTACTTCAATCTTGAAACTTCATGTTTGTATTTTATTTTCATGGTGCAAGCAACTCCTTTTTTCTTCCGACTTGAAATTGGATTCACTTAACTTGTACACTTCTCTCGGTAGGAGCTCTTCAAGGAGACTTCAGGACACAGCTTGTTCGCTGTTGTAAATGGAAGGTGTGTGGAGGACTCTAGATCAATGGCATCTGATTTAACTGGTACATCACTGTTAGGGCTTGAGATAGCTACAAACCGTGATATTATTGGGATCTCTCTAGCCAATTTAATTGTAAGCTCTACTCCTTATAGCCAACTGTTTGTTCTTCTTAAATCACTTTTTTTGTTAGCTGTCCATGCTTCACAAAGTATACTTGTAAAATTTCTTTCCCACATGAAATAACAAACTTTAAAAGAAATTTGCAGAGGCTTCACTGGAAACGTGCTTCGAGATCAAATCCTGGTTTGATGCTGACTTCTCCCCTAAGGCAGCTTCATAATACTGATGACAGACATAACCAAATCGATAAACCAGGTGTCCCTTTATTGCGGCCTCAAGATCTTAGGTGAATTCTAATTAATCTTTATTACTTTAGTAATATAACTTTCTGATAATTTCATGTAGAGTTGAGCTAAAAACCGACCGAACCGAAGTATTTGAACGGTTTATGGAATACAAGTTTAGAAATCATGGTTAATAATTTTCTTTGTATTTGGATAAATTATAAATTTGATAACTGAACTTTATTTTCTCTCCTATTTCATTTACTGTACTTTAGATCTTTTCAATTTTCTCACTGTACTTAGTATATTAGGTTTTTTGTCACTTAGCCGTTAAATAGTTAATGACGTTAAAATAAGCAGTTATATAGATGCAAAATGACGTTGTTTTGATTGAAAACTTTTAAATTTAAGTATGCAAAATAAGAGAGAAAGTAAAGTTTAGTGATAAAATTTATAATTTACCCTTATATTTTTTTTTGATAATTTATTTTCATTTAGTTTCTTTTAAAATATTATAAGTTTGACTCTTAATATAAAATTTTATATTCATCTCTACATCCAGACTAGCCATCAAGGCTTCAGAAAGATTGTTGATTTTGCAGCCACATAATTGGGCCCTAAGGAGAGACCATGGCATGATGCTGTATTATAATAGGTATGATTTGAAACTTCACAAAAGCAGGTGTGTTTTTTCAGGAGACTTATTAGGGATGAACTTAGGTGGATTAGGTTGAAATGATTGCACTTTTAAAAATTTAAAATTATTATATATTTTAGATTTTATTTATATATTTTTTATTAAAAATTTATTCTCATTTTTTAAAATTTTATAAGTTTAAATTTATTCTTCTAGAATTTTAAAAACTTAAATTCATCATCTTATATAAAATCTTACGTTTGTCTCTAGATCTGATGTAATGTTAAAATAAATGGCAGGGAATATGGTAAGGCAGTGCAAGAGCTTAGCATTTGCATGGCCTTTGCTCCGGAAGAAGAGGCTGAGATTCTCCAACCCTTTGTCCACAAACTACATTTAATGCGTCTGGTATCATCTTGTGAGACCTTCGGACACACGCCTCCATTGACCATCAAATAACTTGATGTTGCAGTCTGTGTCTTAAATTAACTATGCAAAACTATAAATATTATTAACACTAACCATATCTAATAAAATAAAAATAATATATCTTTTAAAATTATAAACCCATTCATATTACTTGAACATAACTTTTTATTTATTTAAATAATTACTAATAGATATAAATATTAACCCTTTAATTGATATTTATGGTATATATGATATAGTTATGATTTATTAACCAATTAAAACTATAGGTTATAAATAATATATTAAATATTTTAAAACTAAACAACATTCTTTTTTTAATAATTTAATGTAACTATAAAATCGTATTTATTTAAAGATAACTCTCAATATTTTAATATTAAATGTTCACACCTCTTACATCTATAGTACTCGAGTCTAGGTCATCAAGGAATAACAACAATTATTTTACTAAAAAAACCATTTAATTTATGCATAATATCATATTTTTTAAATACAATAATAATGCATAAAAAATAATTTAAATATTATATTATATTTTCCTTTTTAATATGAAGATGTAATTTTAGATATTATATGTAAATAAAAGAGTATCATATTGAATAATTTTATAGTATTCTTTCTCCTTTTCGGTTTTTAAAATTTTTGTCTTAACATGTACCTACTAATATACTTACCTTTGATGGATAAGTCTCATAATATATTTTTTTATACATATAAAGACTCGAATCTAAAATTTATTTAAACGATATTAAACTGATTATAAACAATCCCTTCTACTAAGGTCCCTTATAAAACTACACTCTAGAAACGAAAACTTTGATTTATGGCGACTCTTGGTGGCAGATGAAATTAAAATGAGAATGTATAAACCCTTTTAGCCAATAGCGATAATCATCGTCAGCAGTATCATCGGTCATGTCTCCATCATGTTATTTGTTGTTGGGCACAAATTCATTCTTGAATGAAGGGTCCTGACATTAAAGTCAAAGGGGTAAAACGGAACATGTACTTGTTATTTTAACAAAATGCACATGATGTCCCTGAACTATAATTTTCATTTCAGATTAATTTCCAGATTTCAGAAAATTCTATATCAATCCTAAATTACCGTTCCTATCTTATCTTCCGTTAACATCACGTTAATTCTTTTAGTTAAGAAAATTTAATATATTTTTAAAGATCTTAAGAATTAAACCTGTGATTTTCTAGAAGTTTTTTAGGACCTTTAAAAATATATTACTCTCTTTGCCTTACTTAAATTGTTATTTATTGACTTTTTTTCAATTCTTTTAGTTTTGACTTTATTATTTAAAATGTATTATTGATAAAAATATGAAGAAAAAAATATTTTAGAAACCTTTAATAAAGCAATTTTGAAATATATTTTAAATAAAATTTAATATTTTAAAATATTATAATAATCATGATTAAAGTTTTAAAAGCGATATTTTTAATGGAACAGATGAAATATTAAATTTTTTAAAAGGTCACAATTTCAATTTTCAATACATTCAAAACATATTATTCTATCACCAAAGGATGAGAGTGGAATGAGGATATAAAACATTTTAATGTTTAGAGACTAATTTAGAACTGATTCATAGTTTATGGACCAATATATGATATTTTAAAGGTTAAGGATTATTTTAGAATATACTTTATAGTTTGGGGACCTATTTGACAAAAAATAAAAGCCACCTACCGTCCTAACAGAACCTCCGTAAAAATCCTTGCTCGCGCTCTCTCTCTCTCTCAGGCTCCGAGCTCTGAGTTGACTCACCACGCAAACTATTTTTATTACTATGGAATTTCACATACATAATAATCCTTCAAAGTAGCAACGACGATTCGAAAGCGACGCTTAGTGCAACAGAGAAGGCGCTGTAACAGATGGCCTGCGCTTTCAGTTGCAGGCCTTTACTCATTTCTTCACCCTTTGCCTTCCCTTCATCATCATCATCTCCCTCGATCCGTGCGGCTACAACCCCTTTTCTATTTTCCCTCTTACCCATCAAAGCATCTTATAAACCAATTATTGATATTGTTACTGCTAACTCTGGTTCTCTCCCTTTGCTACCTGTTGGTGGCGGATGTGACGGCGGAAACAACAACAACGATGATGGACCGTTTGGGTCCGATTCTTGGTGGTGGGACGACGATTCTTCATCTTCATATTCTCATTCTTATCCTTTTCTTTTATTCCTTTCTTCGCTCCTTGCTTGTTTCTGTCATTCCCAATTATCTCCCGCCCTCGCGAGAACCAATGGGGATACCGAGGAAGATGGCGTCGTTTGGGAAGTGAGAGGGGGCAAGTGGACTAAGCTCATTCCCGATTTCTTAGATGATGCGTTTGTCGTTTCGAATGGGATTGTAAATTTGACGAAATCGTCGTCGCTTTCAACTCTTTGGGGGCAATGCAGAGAACTTGTGATGCGGTTGTTGCTCCCCGAAGGTTTCCCCGACAGCGTTACCAGTGATTATCTTGATTACGCTCTTTGGAGAGGCGTTCAGGGCGTTGCTAGCCAAATCAGTGGCGTTCTTGCCACCCAAGTAAAAATTGTCTTTTAATTCCTTGCTCTTATTTTTCTGGTTTAGGAATTTTATAGAACATCTGGTGCTCACTTTTTGTTGGCTATTGTTCAGGCATTGCTGTATGCTGTCGGGTTGGGGAAAGGGGCTATTCCCACGGCTGCTGCTATCAATTGGGTGCTAAAAGATGGAATTGGGTATTTGAGTAAAATCATGTTGTCCAAATACGGTAGACATTTCGATGTCAATCCGAAAGGGTGGAGGTTGTTTGCCGATCTCCTCGAAAATGCTGCCTTTGGATTGGAAATCTTGACCCCTGTTTTTCCCCATCTCTTTGTTCTTATTGGTGCTGTTGCTGGGGCTGGAAGATCAGCAGCTACTCTCATCCAGGTATTCAAATTATTATAATCAAGTATAGTGCTGTTCTTGTTTCCTTTATCTTTCTCGTTAATCAATATCACTGATCGATTCCAGGCTGCTACCAGGAGTTGTTTCTGTGCCGGTTTCGCTGCTCAAAGGAACTTTGCTGAGGTAAAGTTTGTTCTTTTATGTAGTATCTGATATTGGTATGCAGTTAATACCCAAAAAATGTCTTCCTTTCACTATAATCGAATTGGATTCTGCATGTTAGCGGCATTCCTGCTAATGATATTGTGACATTGGCTTTACTAAAGCTAATTATTTATTTTAGGTAATTGCAAAAGGTGAAGCTCAGGGAATGGTGAGCAAGTCGATCGGAATTGCTCTTGGTATAGCATTGGCTAAATGTTTTGGCTCATCTACATCTTTTGCCCTTGCTTCATTTGGTGTGGTTACTTGGATCCATATGTACTGCAATCTGAAATCATATCAATCTATTCAACTGAGGACTTTAAACCCCTATCGTGCAAGTAATGTATCTCTGCTAACAGTGTTGTTACCTGGGAGTTCTAGTTCATTAAGTAATGGAAATCTTATTGTTTTAACAGGTTTGGTATTCAGTGAATATCTGTTGAGTGGCCAAGCGCCTTCAATCAAAGAGGTCAATGCCGAGGAGCCATTTTTTCCAGATGTACCATTCTTGAATTTTATATCCGCAAACAAAGTGAGTTACTGTCTTTCTCTAGGTCTTTGAGATTAGGGTCAATTCTTGATGAGGTCTTTGAGATTAATTTTTTCTAGGTTGCCTCTTTGTTCTATTGAATGCATATCCTGGTTGAGGAATTTGTAGAAACTTGGATAACCTTGGAGATTAAGAAGGTTAAAACTTCAAAAATTTCTTCTTTGTGATTAAACTAATTTTCTTGTTAAATTAAAAGAAAACTTGCTTGAAGGGTTTCGTCTATAACTCTGCTTCTCTAGAACATGGGCTTTTACCAGGGCTCAAGACTTCTAGTCCTTGATCGTTGCATTCCTTGAGATGCGATAATCTATCGTATCAATTAAACTTTCTAAAATCTGTTCAAGTAGTAAACTAGTCAATGCACCAGTGGAAAAAAACACACAAAATCTTTTTCTAGAGTTGATCGTAACAATTTCAGTATAAAATCTAAGAGATTCTGTTATGAATTCCCATTTTCAGGTACGGTCAGATGCTCTATCTTCCGAAGCGAAGCAGGCAGCTTCTGAAATTGAGGTTCGGCTGCAATTGGGATCGAAACTCAGTGATATTGTCAACAACAAGGAGGATACACTGGCTCTATTCAGTCTGTATAAAGATGAAGGCTACATTCTGACTGAACAAGAAGGAAATTTTTGTGTAAGTGAATAACCATTGTGGCTTTTAGCCCCTTTTCATTCATTCCACAGGGGCAACATCTTCACTTATTCTTGAAAGACTGAGCTTGGTTCCTTCTCATCTCGCCTAGAGAAATCTTCTTATTTGTCACCCTTACAAATGCCTGAACACAATTTGGTCTTATAAATTTGTTGAATACTTTGCTATCGAAATAGGACGACCTCAATGATTATGTAGTGCTGTAGGCTAGCTACTAGGCACCGATACTAATTCGAGATTATTTTTGGGTAAACCAGGTAGTGCTTAAAGAAAGTTGTTCTCCACAAGACATGCTGAAGTCACTTTTCCAAGTAAATTACTTGCACTGGTTGGAGAGAAATGCAGGAATCGAATCGAGGGGTGCCTCCAATGACTGCAGACAAGGGGGTAGGCTACAAATCTCTCTCGAGTACGTGCAAAGGGAATTCAACCATGTTAAAATCGACAGTGAATCAGTAGGTTGGGTAACTGATGGACTTATTGCAAGGCCTTTACTGAACAGAATCCGACCCATTTGCGAAGCCATATGAATCGAATGCCTCTTGTTGATGTGAGAAAGGATATCGGGAATGGTTTGATCTTTTTTTTTGGCTTCAGAAAAGTAGGGATAATTTCACTTCCAAGTTCTAACAAATTTTGTAAGAAGTTAGGCTTTTACAAGGCAGTTGGGAGGTATTATCATTGAGTGAAATCTTTTCTTGTACGAATCGAATGTGTATGTTCCTTTGGGTATCTTGTTTAAAAATCAGACTTTGCTCATAGCAAG